CCCCAAAACCCCAAAACCCCAAGAGAAGAGTATCTTCTAAATTTGGTAATCTTCGAAATTATTTATGAAGAAAGAATAGCAATAGATATAAAAATATTTAATTTATGTCAAACTAAGGATAAGCAGACATCAAAAAGATTTAAGATAGCTCCAAATAAGCAATCTAGTCAAAGAAGAATGCGATCCAGAAGTTGAGATAAATTAAGTAGAAGCTGGAAGATTATTTGAGAGGTTGCAATGTTGCTTCAACAGCTGGAAATATGGCTTAAATTGCGGGAACTCTAATGCTCTTCACACCTCTAGTTCTATTTGGAGCAGCCGCCATTGCTGCTGGCACAATTACTAACATCAGCTCAGATGCATTTTCTTCCAGCAAAGAGAATGGCACAATGAAGGAAGTGGCCTAATTAATAGATAACGACACTGATTAAACTGCAAGATTTATCGAATGCCTTTCTTCAATCGGAGAAAAGATTGAGAAAAAAATATAATCAAAAGTCTAAAAAAAGGTTATTAATAAGGCACTAGAAGCAGTTCTTGGCAAAGATACCTAAATATTAAAGATATATAAAGCTGCTAAGAGCTCTAAGAAGTTTTCAAAGGCATTCTAGATGGCAGCAGATTTACAGAAGACTGCTAAAGTTGGAAAAGCAGCAGTAAGCGTAACAAGTGTTGCGAGGTAACTTAAAGGTGGACTCTTCGTTGCTGTTGGAGTTGGAATCAGTGTTTATGAGATTATTCAAACTTGGACTGCTGATAATCAAACTGTTGGCAAGCTTAATTTCATTATCAAAAACCTAGAGGAGCAGCTCAAAGATTTAAATGAGTTGCACAATTACTCTCTAAAGTGAATTTGATAAAATCAGGATGATTTTTATAATAATTTAATTCGAAGTTCATTTATAGGTAGGTTAATCAAATTAAAATTTATTTAACTTAAAAATAAATTTTAATATTAAAGTCAATTAAAAATGAAAATCACTTTTCTTTTTTCTTAATGAAATGTACGTCCTTCATTATAATTGCATTTGTTTTCCCTGCCAGTAACCTTATTTGTTCATCGCAATCAGCAAATGTAAATCGCTTGCAGGCTAAGACCAGGAAATAAATGATATTGAGAAATGCCCAAGAGCCAAATAGCACTAAGAAGTAATAGATTCGTTCGTCTCTTTCTACTTCAATGAAATAGAATACTATCTCAGTTATGGAAAGAAACAATGAATAAATTATGTTCAATAAAAAATAGTAGTCTACCAGGGTTAAATATGCTACCTTTGGAAGGATGTCTGCTAAACCCAAGCGGAAAGTAATCTAAGTCAAAAGAGAGATCAATATAATATTAATCGCATCAGCAAAATTATCTGCTGGGTTTAGCATTGCAATATTGAAGGTAATAAATTCCAGAATAAACAGAGGCAAATAGATGTGAAAGTAGTAATAAGCTCTAGACCTTTTATATACGACTTGATAGATAAATTCATTTCTTTATTTAGAATTGTCAAATATCACTCTTGTAAGATCTTCTCTGAATTCGAAATCAGCCAAATCTGAATCTTCGAATTTACATTGGTCCCTTCCACCAAATCTAAAGGATTCGTGAAACACAATGTTTTAAACTGGAGAAGTTGCTCTAATTCTTAAATGGAGAGGCTGATAATCAAAGGGAAAGTTCCAAAGTTCGAAGTTCTCTTTAATAGTGGCATTGTATTTGATTTTGTATATCATCAATCCTCCTTTCAATGCTTTCATCTTTTCATCATAGATTTCGATACCTTGTGCATTCATTACTTGCAATTTTGGTCTTTCGAAATCATCATGATCTTTAATGATAGTGTCCTTCTCAATGTGTCTCATCTTCTCCTCATACCATGAAGTTTTAAGGATAAATGAAACTTGAAAAGTTTGCTCAACCCCAGTGTCTATTTTCAAAATGTTATAAATGTTGACACTCAAACCAAGTGGCCATGTTTTATTATTCTTGAACAGGTCGTCTGTGACGATAAGTGGCAAGGTTTGAGATGTACACTTTTACATTTATAATTAAAATTCGGAATAAAATTTAAGGTGATATATTAAAATTTTCCTGAACTTCGAATTTTTATTATTACTAATTTCTTGGGGTTTTGGGGTTTTGGGGTTTTGGGGTTTTGGGGTTTTGGGG